ACCACCGCAACAACATGCGAAGCCTCTCTTCCCGCATGCAACGCAAGTGCCACCAATTCCTCATGTTCCCGCTCCCGAGCAGGTTCTCAGCCTTCTTGCGTCGGAACGAATGAGGCTGTGGCGCTCAAGAGATCCTTACAGCACAACAACGCCCAAGACGCGTCGGCGTCACGACTATCCTGATCCCGGTTTCCAGGCTATGGTTGATGCTCTTGAAGAGCTATTTGCAGTAGCAAAGGACTGGCCGTTTCCGGCCACCGCGCCTCCCGCATGGCTGGCCAACAACGAAGAGCGATCACGAGAGTGGCGCACAGGGTTTCAAAGAGATGCCGCCTTGCGTGCCAAGAAACAGGCTGGGGAAGCTGCCCGCCGCGAGGTCGAGAGACAGGCACAGCAACCCTCTGCCGGTCTTCAAGCCGCGGATCACCAGGCTCAGACCCGCCCGCAGAGCAACGAGGAGGCCTGGGCTGCGTACTATCAGCAGCAGCAGCAGCACGAGCAGTACGCGCAGTACATGGCTCTCCTTCAGCAGGCGCAGCAGGGCGCCAACGGGCAGGGCCCGCAGCTGGGCGATGCTCAGTTGCAGGCTCTTCTCGGACAGATCAGCCTGCCTCAAGCCCAGACCCCGGGCGGCGGTGGCGCATACGAGCTTAACCCCAACGACCAAGGGTACCAACAGCTGATGGCGCTCTCGCAGCTTCAGCAGCAACAGCAGCAGGCGCCAGCACAACAAGGGCGCGGGCGGGAGCACGGCGGCTTCGAGCCGCCGCACGACCCGAACGCACTGGACTATGACGACCTGGACTACCGTGATCGCGGCGAGAGGCGCGACAGCTTCGAACACGATGAACGCGATGGGGGCCGACGGGACAGAGACAAGAACGGCAAGCGCAAGGGCAACGCGCCAGGCGGGGCGACGTTGGCGCCTCATCGGCCGGCGAACAAGGCGCTCATTGGGACGAAACCGTGCTCGTTCTGGCAACAAGGCAAGTGTGCCAGGGGTGATAAGTGCACCTTTAGGCACGACAACTAGGCCGGCGCGCAGAGCGAAAAGGCTGCGGAGATTGGTGGAGGGTGTTGAATATTTTTCTTGTTCTTTTCATTTGTCGAGACGGGCTAGCACATATTCCCCCCGTTTATCATTATCATCATCATCATCGGCACCATCGTCATCATGTTGGCGCTGTATCACGGCGCTTGGCTCGGCTGCATTGCATTGCGAGGACCTGGAGGATGCGCGTGTGCGGTTCACACTACCCATTTCTTGTTCTCTTTTTTTTTTCTCTTTCCCTCGCGGGCCTTGGAGCGTTCGGCAGGCATCTAAGTAGGGCATCGAGGGACGGCCCCCCGCGCGGGACGGAGTGTTATTATAATGTATCAGCTGCATGAACATCCCATTTCACCGAATGAGGGAGATGGCGCGCAGATCACGAAAGAAGATAGAGTCCAACATGATGTTGACAATATGCGTACCATGCAGCCCCTTCTCGTCTCGTTTCGTTGTTGCTGTGAGAAGACGTGCACTCGCGTCGTGAGAGGTCAGGTTGGCGTACATGCAGTGCGGTAAACGGCGGCTGTTGGGTCATATGGGCCACCCTACCAAGACGTTGCGAGGGAGCTAGCTGCATGCGCATGGCTCCTTCGTCGGGTGGGAAGAGATGATGATGCCCGGCGAGCGGTCTACAGTGTCTGTTGGTGGCGCACCACCCAGCGAGGCGAACGGGTCTGGCCTTTCTGGCGGCCAACAAGAAGCGCGATGCCTTGTCGCAGCCGCGATGTTGGGGGCCCGTCGAGACTCAGGCCGTCTCTCTCTCTCTCCTTCTCTCTCTCTCTCTCTCTCTCTTTCTCTTTCTCTGTCTTGTTCATGATTTTCCGCCTTGTTGGTGTTTCTCACTCTCTCGCTTAGTAGTGTCACGGCCAGTCAGGCTTGGTCAGGTCAACCGGGAGGCCGCATCTCGCGGGCTGAGGTGCGAGATTCGACAGAAGGATCAGCCATGTCGTCTTGGAAGCTCCAGACGAGGTAGGCTGGAGCTAGCGACTGCGGTGGCACGTTGGAGGGGGTGGGGGGGGGAGACGCGAATGAGCAGAGTCTGGGAGATGAATAGGGGGAGGTGTCAGGCGATTGGACGACGGGACGCGGTCGACGAACTTGACATAGGCTTTCTTTTCTCCCTCCCCTTCTCGGGGAGGACGGCATGTTGCCTGTGGAGATTTGAGTCAGCTGCATCTGCGACGTGTGGTCTTTTGCTGGGGGGGGCTGTAGTTGGGGCGACTTGGGTCTTGAAGGTTTCCCTCAGGTGGAAAGCTAGTCTTGTCATGAGGGACAGTCAGGTAGGTCCATCGGAGGAACATGCCGCGCTCTGGGGCAGAGAGAACTCTAGGTCCGCGAGAAACACGCGAGGGGTGGTGACAGGAGAGAGCCAGGGGTGCATTTGGTGTTTGATTTCCAGGGCATCATCAGGGGACGGGACCAGGAGATCAGCAGAGATCAGAAGATCCGGTGGGGGGGGGGGGGGGGGACGGCGCAGCGCAATGGCAAGGCAGGAGGAGCTCGGACGAACTGGAGCTTGGACGGAAATCTACCTCAGGCGAGGAACGGGGGGGGGAGCTCGGGGCGAGTTTACAGCACCTCCAGGGCACCGTGCCCAGGCGATGGAAGGCTGCCGTCTGAGCGCTGTACCTGTATAGGCAAGTTCGTGTGCTGGGGCGGCATGCCCTGAAACCGAAGAAAGGGGGTGCCCTGGAGCCATGAAACGAAACGCAATGTCTGGGGGTACCCCGTTATTTCTTCGCACTTTGGGCAGGTCATTATGTTGAGGGAAACGTGGGACTGAGTTTGTCACTGAGACGAGATTTGAAAGACGCCTTTGAGCCCGACGCGACGGAGCGATGTAAGGCTGGCGAGGGAAGCTAGAGTCGCAGGGCTGTCTGGTGTAAATTACAGCCAGAGCCAAATGCTGGAGCGTTGCTGTAGGGTTGCTGTAGGGGTGCAACGGTGGGCATGCAGCCATGAGCAGGAGCCCGATGAGACGTTGTTTCCCATTCTGCCCGACCAATGAGTACGCACTCGCTCGCTTGCTTGAAGACAGACGAGGAGGTAAGTACCTCCCTGCCTGGAAGTGCCTGGAAGGTCTCCATGTACCTCTCTCACAGTGAAGCATGTACGAAGAGGTGGGCATGACCGGGGCTAATTGAATGGGGAACACACACCGACGGACGGGCAGCCATCCGATGAGAAATTAGCCCATCTGTCGAGATGCAGGCGCACGCACGCCTTAGGTCAAAGACCAAATTAGCACAGCTTGAGATGACCTTCGGCCAGTCACCGACGATGCCCCGCCTATGCAGCCAATCAACCAACGCCAATGTCAGCAGCAGAGGCGGTCGCTCAGCAAGCCGTGCTAATTATGCCCATTTCCCCTCTTTCCGTCCCGCCTAGCCTCCACACCAAAGCAGCCCGGCAACATCATCATGGCTGGCCTTGCTACCCACCACCTTGGCAGGCTTGGGGAGCTTACCTGCATCTCCATCCACCAGACCACCTCAAGCAAGGTCGACTATCGAGTCCACCGCGTCCAACATACCCACGGCATCACTTGCTGCCGGCCGCGTCGTCTCGGCATACATGCACTCTTGGCCAGCGGCATCCGCGCGCCTCTCGCACGACAAGATTGATCGAGAGCGACTCATCAACTCGTCCATCCTCTCTCTGACCCGTTTCCCCTCGGAGAAGCCAGAAGAGCACATGGGGACTGCCTCGCTTCCCGACGGCAGCGTGCTGCCGATCCTGGCCATACGCGGCCACCCTTCAACTGACAAGAGCACTCAACCCGCGGGGTCAAGGTCAAGGTCATGTACGCAGAGACGCAGAGACGCAGAGACGCAGAGAGGGAGGTCAGAGCTCAAGGCGCAGAAGGAGTCAGAGCTCAGAGCCTGGAGCTCACATGGATGCCAGATCCCTGCAGCCGGTAAGCGCGCATCGCACAAGGCACCCCTGTCCACCATCCACCACACCCCTCGAGCTACTGACCTAGGTAGACGACCCTTTTTTACCTTGGAGGCCGAAGCAGGACGACCTCGTCGACGAGACGAAGAGACGGGCAGCCGTGTGGCTAGCGCAGCACAGGTACATGCGCCCTGCCCACCATCTAGCTTTCCTCCTTGCCGTCTAGAATCCCAGGATCCTTCGACCATGCCCGGCTCGACCATGCCCGAGAGCCCCCGCGCCTGGCCGTCCTTCCCAAGACCGTCATGCCTTGCCCAGCCCCCCAGCCCGTTGGGGACGCGCCCGTGGCATCGGGGCTTTTTGTCTTTCACGTCCCCATGTCCATGCCCATGCTTTTTTGGCTCCAGCAGGCTGTCAGATCTGGGGCTTGTGTCAGTGTCAGGGATGTCTAGGAGTCTACTGTACAGGATCTCCGCCTGAGGAGTGCATGCCCAACTGTCTAGCTTCCTGTCCGTCGGTCTGTCTGTCTGTCTGTCTACAGGTCTGTTCGGTATAAAGGAGACGTCTCGTCCCATCCTCCATCGATCACGATCATAGCCTTCTTCAAGCAAGCCTTGACATCGCATACTCTTCTCTTCATCTCTTCTCTTCGTCTCTTCTCTTCACTACAATCCTCTTACCATCTGAATCCCAGCCTCTCCACAACCAGAGTCCGCTTTTGTCAACGGCCGATCAACCCGCCCTCGCCAAGCCACCCGACTCGCCCTACCAGATTCTCTAAGCGCCCAACTTCACCACCTGGCCTACACTAGGCCTCTTTCATCTCTTGCCGCTCTTCAACCACCCACTTTCTGAGAATAGATCGACTCTTTCTCAGACACTGCATCTATATCTATCATTCTTCCCATTCCCCTTGCCATTGTCGATCTCTCTTGCGCTATCCAGGCTACTGCTACCAACTGCATCTGCACTTTGGCCCTTATCGCATTCTCGGAACGCAAACATCACATACCACATCAAATACCATATCACACAACACACAGACATCACAACCATGCTCGCCAGGTCACTCCTCCTCCTCGCCTCCCTGGCGCTCGCCGCTGCTTCGCCCGTCCGCAAGCAAGACGGCACCAGCTGTGCGCAGAAGGCGCCCACACTCCCTGTCAACGGTGGCGGTACGTCCCACAACCCCAATCCCCCACTTACAGCCTCATCGTGTCTCCTTACTAACACGCCCACTAGCAACTGAGCTCGCATCACCGCCTCAGGGCAGTGTTCTCAAGTACATCGCCGTCGGCCACGGCATTCAGAACTACACTTGTGCTGCCGGCCAGGCAGCCAAGGCTACCGGCGCCGTCGCTGTTCTTTACGATGCCACCGCCCTGTACCCCGGTCGCGGACCCAAAGCCCTCCCCTCAGTCGAACACTTCAATGCCCTGACAACAGCCGCGCTCTGGGGCACCCCGCTGCCCCTCAACACCGACGGCACCACCAAGTTCGGCGCCTCCGCTTCCAAGCCCTTCAAGGCCCCAGCCCCACTCGATATTCCCGGCCAACAGATCCCCTTCCTCGGCCTTCACTACTTTGACGGCGCCGGCGTTCCTACGTTCCTGACCGGCACCTCCGAGGCCGACGCCAAGGCCTCCGTCCTGAAGGCCTTCAAAGTCGGTGACGCCCCCGCTCCCGCCAGCGCAGACCCTGGTCCCGTCGGCACGGGTGCCGTTGCGTGGCTCTACCTCGGCGCCAACCCCGGCAGCCGTGGCTTCTCCGCCGTCTACCGCGTCATCACCGCAGGCGGCAAGCCCGAGGCGTGCGTCGACGACAAGCCCCAGAGCGTTCCCTACGCCACCTACTACTGGCTCTACGGCAGTGCTTAGAATATTTTCTCGCGTCAGTTGGTTCTTCGATCATTGCTTGCATTGGGACAGCTTAGTCCGCTCTCCCACAACCTAAAAAAATCGGGGGGCATTCATCATAGACGGTCGTTTCACGGTCCATGTTTTTCTTTCTTTCTTTTATCACCGTCCTGTCAGCATTGGCCACGGACATCTTGGAGTCGCGGGGCTGGCTCTTCATCACGAGTCTAGGATCGATTCCCCCTTCTCCCTCACATGAAAGCGTGGCGTGGCCACGGTACCACTCTTTCTTACCTTATTAATCGGGCTCGGCGCGGGGCGAGCACGGCACGGCATGGAGACGGAAACGGGGCAGGACAGGCTGGTCCTGCTTTGGGAGGTTTCGCCGCGCGTACATAGTCGCGAGGCCTGGACATGCGGGCAGACTGTATCTAAGGGCTCTTGAGGCGTTCAGGTTCCACCATAGTTCATCGGACACATTATTCTTCACTGCTCCTTCCTTGCTGAATCGCAACGTGTTAGTTCCGTCAAGAATTTCAAGGCTGTAGCTGGCTGTTCCCTGTGGGCGTAGTCTTGTTGGACGTGGCGACCTCGTGCAGCACGTTTGATACCTGGCAAGCCAAGTCACATTGGTTCAGTCAACACAACACGTCCACTGGTCACGTCACTTCACTGCAGCCACGTCTAGCTGGAGTTCTTGTTCATTCATTCGCTATTGGAAGCCGACATCTGGCCGTCTTGCTCCCACCTGCTGCATGCCCGAGTTTCGTCATGTGTCCTCCTCTTGCTACAGCCTGGAAACCCTCACCCAATCCCCCTTGTCCAAAATCATGGTGGAACATACGTCGAAGAGCAAGACTGTCGTGAAAAGTCCAATTCGAGTGCCTCGGGACCTGGCCCGTCCAGACCCCGTTTTGCCCATACATCCCGTCCTCTTGCCATCCTCCTCTTTGCTTTGCACCAGAGGCGTCATCACCTTCGGTGGTCGAGTCCGCCTGCGAGGTCGGCCTCCAGACCTCCGCCGTGGGCCTGGTATTCCTGCGGCCTGGGGTCTTCGGTACTCCACTGGCCGTGGCCCGAAGGGATGGGCACCTGGCCAGCGGCGGCCTGCTGGGCGGCCTGGGTGCCTCCCTGACCGCCGCCGGGGACGGTGCGGACAAACTGACGGAAGCGGTACACCTCCTCGAGGATCATCTTGCGCATCTCACCGACGTCGTCGACGACCTCAAAGTCAAAGTTGAACGTCGTCTTGCAATCGGGCTCGTCGGAGGCATCATGCCAAATGTGGAGGTACGGGTGCTCGAGAGCCTGGTCGACGCTGATGCGGCTTGAGGGGTCGAAAGCAAGCATGCGGTCGAGCAGGTCGAGCGCGTCAGGGTTCGCCTGGGGGAAGAGTTGGGGGAACGGCTTCTTGGCCATGAACGGCAAGTTGCGCACGTACTCTTGCGCACGCGGGGAGCCAATCCTGGAAAGCGTCTCCTCGTTGGGGGTACCGAGAATGTGAAGAATCTGGTTCAGCTGGTCGACGTAGTCGCGGCCCTTGAAGAAGGGGCGGCCGCCCAAAAGCTCGGCCAGAATGCAGCCAACGGACCAGACATCGACTAGGCCCGAGTCAGTGGAAGTACTTCGTCACGGGGGGGGATGGATCAACCCACTAGCTTTGGTGTAGCTCTGGAAGCTCAGCATAATCTCGGGCGCGCGGTACCAGCGCGTGGCGACATACTCGGTCATGTACCCAGCGTTCTCCTCGGGATCGACGGAGAAGCCGCGAGCCAGGCCAAAGTCGCAAATCTTGAGCTCGCAGTCGGCATTGACCAGCAAGTTGCCGGGCTTCAAGTCACGATGAAGCACGTTGGCGGAGTGGATGTATTTCAAACCACACAAGATCTGATAGATGAAGGACTGGAAGTGAGCATCGGTCAGGGGCTGGCCAGAGCGAATGATGGCCGCCAAGTCGCACTCCATCAACTCTGCAGAGGGGATATCATCAGCGGGCTATTCGCGGCCGGAGGGTCAAGGGTGGGATTGAAGAAGGAAGGCTAACCCTCGTAGAGGTACGTTTCGTTAAAGTTGTCGGGGCGGGGAATATCCATGTCGTAGAGACAAGTGATCTACAAATGAGACAATGTCAGCTTTGCCAAGAGCATCATGAGAGACCGGGAGGGGGGCGGGATCGCACGTTTCGGTGGCCCCTGAAATGCTGGAGGAGCTTAATCTCGCGGAGGGCGCGCTTGGCGAGGATCTTCTTGCTGAAGACATTGGTGACCTTCTTGATGGCGACGCCCTCGTTGCTTCCACTGTTGACGGCGGCGCTGTGCAGAGAAGTCCCAGGTCAGCGCGATGCAATGTTGGGTCGAGATGTGCTGTGCAGCCTGCAGGGCGAGGGGCGAGGGGCGAGGAGCGAGGAGCGCGGGGGCGAGGGGACGTTGAGGCCTACCAGACGATTCCGTAAGCTCCCTGACCTAGCTCCTTCGTAACGGTGTAGCGCTCGTCGACGATGAAATCTTGGTTGAAGACCTTGAAGATCTTGCGTCCCTGGAGGTCGGCCATGTTTGCGCGCGACACGGTGTGTCGAGGTGTCGAGGCTGCGGGGAGGGGCGTTTCTTCTTTGTTTGCTGCGGTCGGCGTTCTGGGTAAGCTTGCGTGCACGCGGGGTCCCGAAGGTGAGGCGGGGAAGTCGGGGCGGGGCAGCAATCGGCGTTGGTGGGCTGAGGGAGTTGAGCGAGAGGAGGGGTCGTCGGTCGACCTTCTGGTTGCAAAACGACGTGAAGCAACCTCGAGGGAAGAGGAAAGCTCAGGAAGGACGAGAGACGCAATAAAAAGGCGTCTGGAGAAGGGCGGTTGGGAAAGGGGAGGTATGGGAGAGAGAGAGAGAGAGAAAGAAAAGAAGAATCATCGGTCGAGGGAGAGTGGAGGACAGACGCGACAATGCCTCTCGTACTTTCCACCTCTGGGCCGTTTGCTTGCTCGCTCGTTCGCTCGATGGCACCTGAAAGAGCAAGAGCACCCGTGAAAGGCAACAACCTGGAAGCAGGAGCAGGGGGCCAAGCAGCTGCCCGCCCCACCGTCAGCCTCCCGGCGCGGCCTGATTTGTCGGCCGCCTGTCTTTTGGGGGCTTATTCACGCCCCAGTCTGCCACGCTCTGTGACGGGCAGCTCTTGCCGCCGTCTGATTGGCGTAGCCCAAAGCCAGAAATCATCTGTAACCGCGCGACAATCAGATGAAGCTCGAGATGCCTGATGGCCGGTAGCGGACTACAGAGCACACACGCGAGACGCAGCTGATCCCCCATGCGCCTGTCGCGGTTCTGATCTCTATGATCTCATCTCTACGAGTCTACGAGTCTACGAGCAGGCAGGCTGCAGTGGCATTGTTCATCGTCAACTGCTCTGCGCCCTCCCTCGGCATCCTTCCCAGGCCGTTAAAACTGCCTTCAGGGTTTCGAGGCTAAAAGCTGCCGTCCGTCAGACTGCCATTTGATCCACTGCGGCTGTTCCGTTTTCAGGCCCGAGCTGAAATGCCCCGAGAGACAGGTCAACCTGGCACCCTCGGCCGGCCTGGTAGGGCTGAGGTCAGATCAAAGGGCCCAGAGGAGCCGAGCCCCCCCCTTCCCATCCATCGCCTCTTCGTCCCGGCCCTTGAAGTTGGGTTGCACTGGCTCGGCTGACGAACAGTGGTGGACAGCTGACCTACCTCCCGAGCTATTTACATCGTCCATTCAAATAGGCTTTGCCTAGGTAGTCTGGACAAGGAGAGATCTGGCTCCCACAACTTTAATCTTGCCTGAGCTCAGACGCGGTTGCGAGCCGCCCGTCGGCCTTTGCTGCAAGATTTATTGCCATGTATTGTTGGGTATCTCCGTCTATAGCAACACCACATACACACGACGGCCCAGCCATCGCACAACAAAATAGGTAGCCCCGTCTTTCCACCTTTTCACCTGGGGCCCGCCTCACCAACCAGGCTTAGGCCGTCTTGACGTTGGGGAAAACATCAGCGAGGAAGTTGCGGGAGAACCGCGTGCACTGCTCGTACGCAGTCTGGAATCCCTGCTTGCCGCCGTAGTAAGGGTCGTCCACCTCCTCCGCCTTGGTCGAACCCGAATGCTCGCCCCAGAGCTGGACCTTGGCGCGCGAGTCTGGCTTGCCGCGCTGCTGTAGGCTTTCGAGGTCGCGCAGGTTGTGGCGGTCCATGGCGAAAACGTAGTCAAAGTCGTCAAAGTCGGAGAGACGTACCTGATCAAGGGGAAACGAGAACTGTCAGCCACATGTCGTTCAGGTGGTGGAGGGAGCAGGGTGGTGAAGACAAGAGCAGAGCGTACCTTGCGCGCGTGATGCACATAGTCGGTGATGCCGTGAGCCTCCAACGTCGACATTGTCCTGTGGTCAGGACCCTCTCCAATGTGATAAGCCCCTAGTTCCCAGCGTCATATCAGCATGAGGCAGCGGGAAGATGGTGGTACTCAGGGCCAGTCCGGCGGTCCCGGGGCATCCAACGCACCAGTGCCTGACGAATCAACCCTCCCGATGAGGTCTTTGTATTGCGGCTCCTTGGCGATCTCACGGAAGACACCTTCGGCCATGGTCGACCGACAAATGTTGCCGAGGCAAACAAAGAGCACGGAAACCTTTTTCTCCGGCATGATGACTAGCGGGCGGCGGTCGCTGTCATGAGCAGTTTTGTGTGCTCAAGATTGGGAGTTGTGACGTGGTAAGCCTGCCAGTCACCTGTGTGCCCCGCGATGAGGTGGCGTGGGCGCTGCGATGCGATGCGCGGGGCAGCTTGATACAGTGTGAACATCCACTCGCACGGGACACTGTGAGGAGTGTAAGCGGCAGACGCAGCTATACGCTGTATGTGCCGCAATCGGCATCCATTCACAGATTGAGGTTTTTGAAGCTGTGTAATAATGAGTGAACACTTGTGGCACTTTCATACCTTCGTCGCTATATATCTAGCTACTTGTTTCAACGTGAGGTTATGGATTGTGCACGTCACTCTTGGTTCACAAAGTTGGGCCGAAGGGACGAATTCGCTTCCAGGAGATGATAGCTGGACTTGCTTAGGATCTGACGGACATACAATCTTGATCTGCAAAGAATTGGGCATCAAAACATCAACAATTAGTATGGAACGTAACCCATCATGTGTGCAGTCGTCCTCCGTTTAAGCGACCCCTGACATACCGAGGGATTTCTTCCTCGGAAGGACGTGTAGCTTGGCATTTGCTCGTAATGGTAGAACCAAGAGAATCAATTATGTGCACTTTCGAAGGATCTGGGCCGATGGTATCAGAGGACAATGTACAGCCTAATGCTGATGGACGGACCGGAATACAGAGGAATGGCCGCGGTGTCATTGATGGCAACCTTGGCATTGGTAGTTGCCTTGCTGGTGTTCCCAGTCGAGACTGCAAGCGCACGGCATCCAGTGAGCGCGATCAGGGTAGGTGTGCCAACCCTGAAAGAAGCAGTGCTATAGTTAGATATCCGGCCAGATGAACTGCAGATTGACGCATGAGAGAGTCAAACTCCACACGATAGATACCACATGATGTCGTACGTGCTTCGCAAGCGATCTAGTCAAGCGCTGGCGCCTGGATCCTTCGAGTACTATGAGCCGGATTTCTTTGCCCAGAAACATTCAGCAGCCACTTTTCGAAGCCAGACTGAGAGAGGCCACAAAACTCATTCAATGTGTGCACTGGTTCAATGGCTGAATTTCGTATCGCGAAGGCCGAGAAAACCTTGGCTGTTCGGAAAACTCCGTGGTGTTTGTTGGGAAGCCTTACTCGCGGAAGCCCGGCCTCAGCCACCGCATAATCGGATCAAAGGTCAGGCCTGCGATGGAAATAGGCACAAGTCTACAACGGATGAAGGCCGAGACCTGCATGCTGCGAACCACGCCACACATCGATCGCATTTTTAGTAGACTGGTTAGTATACACGATCCGGGGAAGGTTGCGGGTTTGACAAGCAGGCCGCAATCCTTCCTTTCTTGAGTCAGCGAGGCATGCACCGGGTTTAAGAATGCCGTGGACGGGAGCCATCGCCCCGATTGCAATGTAACATAATTAAACAACCGGCCTAGCTTGCCAGTCACAATGGTACGGCAGCAAGCTACCGTCCTTGTTTGGCCCTTAGATCAAGCATGTGATTGTGAGCTCTCAGCTTTGCGTTTTGTCAAGGCAGACACGCAGACATGGCTTGGAGAGACCAACCATAGAGATGGCAGCGAGAGCGCCCAACGTTTCACGTACCTTTCAGGTGCATGAGGGGCCGCTCTTGGGAATGGTGGACTAGTGTGCCGATTTTCCTGGAGGATGTTATGGAGATGGTCCAATTGGATATGAAAAGTTGCACGCTCTCCACGCATGTGGGGAGAGCATGGTTGCTTTTGTGCACAGGCGGGATGACGCAGGATCGCGACCCATGGACTGGGCCGTTGTTGGCCTCCAAAAGGTGGATTCGGCTGCAGGCCAGGTCCAGCCTCGTGCTGAGGGCAAGACAAGCAAGATGCTTGTGCCGTTGGGCGTGCCGGTGGAGATGGCAATGCGCCATGTCTGAGCAGCGAGGGACGAGTGAGCAGCGCGAGGGTGGGCGGACAGCTCGGGAGATAGAGGAGGGACCTCTTTGTCACACCAGTACCAGCAGAAGCGCGAACCACGGGCCGGTCGTCGGATCAACGTCGGTGCAACGGTGCCCTCTTCATCAGAGTTTGATCATATGGGTCTGATCGATCGGGGATATTGCCCATTGCTTCTTCTTTTTAGCGTGCACTGCGGCCGAGATTTCCAATACCTTCCATAGCTTGCTCAGCACGCAGGCGACTGCACGCAAGCTTTCAGACTTTGGCCAGGGTCTTGTTGACCTGACGTGGGAGAGACGAAGGCTTGTTCTCAGGCCTCCCCAGGGGTTCGCTGCACCAAGCGAGAGTTTCTCCACCCGCCATCCACCCCGATCAGTGGGAATCCAACAACAGTAGACTAGCTCGTGGCACAGGGCGTTCGATGTGGAGAGTCTGATGCTGGCGACTCCGGGGGGGAGGTTGAGTGGGCTCGGGAGCTTACGCACCTTGCGCCTTGCCTCGCCTCTTGAGCTGCCCTCGCAGTCCTCCCAGTCGCCGAATGCAGTAGGAGCAGCAGCCGAGTCTGCAGCTCCGATTCGTAGCTGTAACGATGCATTGCCGTCGGCCTACGCGGCACAATACCGGCATGTGAAGCAAATACGAACGCCACTGCTGTCGATCAGTACATACATCTCGGAGACAGCGGCGACGAAAACTAACGACGACGACGACGACGCGGATGACTGCACCAGGGGACGTTCTTACATGTACCTCCCTCCGCGGCCTCCTCCCCGCATCTTCTCAAAAGGTGACTGGAACAGGTCGAGATGATCTCTGCGAAATTACACGCTTGGGCCATGAGATCAATAGAGCCAGCTGGCCAGGCAAAGACGGCGAGCCGGCGAGACAGACTGGGGCCATGTCTGAGTCGCTGCCCCTTACGACGCTTTGTCTAGAACCGGCGGCGAGACCAAACAACTGCCAGTCGTGCACCTCGTTCCTCGTTCCTGCCCAGACTTTTCCTATCTGTCGCTTTCCGTCCGAAGCCAGAGAGACCTGGGCCCATGCCAGCCCCACACGTCAGGGCGGTCCACATAGTGACCATTGGCCTATGGGAGCAGGTGGAATGGAGCCGGCGCATCAACGAGACCAGGCACAAGCCACAGACGCAGGGGTTGATGGGGTGAGCTATGCTGGCTCGGGCCTGGTCGTGGTACGTAACCGTGCCGTTTGTGGATGTCGATGGGATATCCCATGTGGATCCCTCCCCAGCTGCAACGGCAAGAAAGACCACACAGCACTGGGGCAGGCTCACTCAGATCGAATCAGCTTGGGGAGGGATCATCAATATGTTGCCCGGATGTAAGTTGTGGTTCAGGATTAGTGCGAGCAAGTGCGGCCCGGGCTCATTGAACTGGGGTAAGGGCTGCCTGGCGCCGGGGTGGAAGGGGGGCCAAGCATGCAGGGAAGGAAGGAACGGGCACTGCAGTCTTCCGCGCACCTGCCTTGGACCCTCTGACGAACGGATGTGAACTACAGTACGTCTAGCTACCATGGGCAGGACCTTAAGAACGTCTCCTTCCTCCCGGGTTTGCGCTGATCGAGTTTTCTCTTCTTTTTCTCTACTCCTCATCAACCTGCTCCTCACCCAAGCTTGACTCCCATCATCAACTCAACCTTCCACACTTCACCTACCAAAGCATTTGCTTCTCTACCAACCGCCACAATGAAGTACGCCGCCGCCGCCGCTCTCCTCGTCGCCCTGGCTCGCGCCCAGGATGTCACCAGCATCATCAGCCAGATCCCCTCCTGCGCCCTGAACTGCCTGTCCCAGGGCATCAGCAGCGCCGACTGCTCCATCAGCGACTTCACCTGCATCTGCTCCAAGTTCGACAGCATTCAGGCCTCTGTCCAGCCCTGCCTTGCCAGCTCTCAGTGCTCCGAGACCCAGGTTGCCGGTACGTTCAGAGACTACTGTGTGAACGTGTGACGTTGAATAAACTCTCTGACACCTCTGCAGACACCCTCCGCCTCGCCACTGGCCTCTGCAGCAACGCTGGCGGTGCCTCCGGCTCTGCCGCCGCCACCACTGCCACTGGCTCTGCCTCCAACGTCGAGACCATGCCTGTCGCTTCTGACTCGGCCTCTGCCTCTGCCTCCGCCACCGAGACCGTGACCAGCACCGTCGCGTCGCAGACCGTCATTGTCTCCGGCTCGTCCACCTCCACTGTTGGCTCCAACAGCACTGCCTCCGCCCCCACTGGTTCCCGCACCACCACCGGCACTGGTGCTGATGCCACCACCTCCGGTGCTGCTACCGAGACCACTGCTGCCGGTGGTGACTCTGCCGCCGGTCGCATCCAGGCCGCCGGCTGGGCTATCGCTGGTGTCATCGCCGCCGCCGTTGCCCTGTAAAGAGCTCCATAACCATATGTTGCTCGCTCACCCACCACCCCATGCCGCACGCGGCACGTAATGTTTTAAGATACCACGCATATCGACCGAAAAGGAAACGGATAAGCGAAGGACCGGCATTAGTCTGCCGTGTATATGAAGGATATGCTGTAGATGATCGTAATAATAACGACTCGTGGCTGAACTTGTTGATTTATGATGTGTCTCTATGATGTTATATGGAATGTTTGCCACTGCACTCTTGTGTAGCAGGAATAAGGGGTCCAATTCAAGAAGAGGAAGACTCCCGGCCAAGGGAAAAAGGAACAATGCAACAGTGGACCGTCAACCAGATTTGTACTTCCGTGCGTCTTGTTTCCTCTTGGCAACAGAACCCCTATCTGGACACAAAAAAAATAGCATGGTCTCAAGTTGCGTCTTTTCTTCTGCCACCGAAACAGCTCACTTGCAAAGGTCCTCCACAATCTTGCGCCCGTCGCGAACGACATCGGCTTCGTGCATCTCACAGCGCGCCGTCTCCTCGAGACCCTCGGCCACCCACTGGGCGACAGCCGGGTGCGCAAGAAGCCTGCGGGCGTAGGCGTCGGCGTCGGCGGACAGCGCGAGCCCGTAGGTCTGCAGGCGGCTCGCGACGGGGGCGAAAAAGGCGTCGACGGCGGTAAAGTCGGCGCCGGCGAGCCAGGGCCCGCCGAAGCGCGTGAGCCCCTCGGTCCACAGGGCGTCGATGCGGTCGAGGTCCCGGCGCAGGGCGTCGTCGGGGACGCCGACGTCGACGCGCAGGCCGACGTTCATACCGCACTGGCTGCGCAGGGCGGGGAAGCCCGAATGCATCTCGGCAGCAGCACAGCGGGCGTAGGCGCGGGCGGCGCGGTCGCGGGGCCAGGCGGCCGGGTGGTCTTCGGCGAGGTACTCGACTATGGCGAGCGAGTCGTAGATGACGGTGCCGTCGGCGAAGGCGAGGGTTGGGACCTTGCCGGTCGGGGAGAAGGCGCCAAAGGCGGGCTGGCGGATGGTCGGCGCAAAGAAGAAGATCTTCTCGTCAAAGGGTATGTTGAGGGCCTTCATGAGAACCCAGGGCCGCATGGACCAGGAGGAGTAGCGCTTGTTGCCGATGTAGAGGGTCGCCATGGTGCGTCGATGGTGTGAGATGCTCGTGAAGTAGACGTGCGTGTGTTGTGTCTGTCTGGGCACCATGCCTTTTATAGGGGGCGTCGTGAAGCGCGGTTATCATCGTCGTTTAGGACAGCAGACGCCGAGCGAGCTGGTGAGTCAATGATGCATCCCCCACTCTGCGCCCTTTCAGTGACCATGGTGGGTAGTTCTGCAAAGCAGTGCATTTAATCATGCATGCATGCTCAAATGGAAATGATTTTTTTGGTATCGAATATTCTGGATCACAAGACATCTCGAGTCGGAATTGATATATCCGTGGCAGGCAACCAAAGGGCAGGCCACAGTCCCCTGAATGACATAAGCTGGGCAGGCCGCACAGCCGCCAGCAGCTGGCCGATGCTCTGTCCAATTCATGAGGCAACTTGACCTCGATCAAGTTCTTTCCCGCCAGACCATCCACGAGACGATTCTTGGCAAACAAAGTATGCTGGCGACACCATGGATATGTCGCAGCTGCATCAGGGCTTTGGCAAAGCCCAGGTCATTGCCTTTGGTCTTTTTCCGCCGCGCTAGCACAGGTGAGAATGCGCTTGGTTGACTGTGCCCCTACCCCCCCGGCCTTCTGAACAGACGACTGACGAACACGACCCCAGATGCGAGCGCCAACCTCCCACCCGCCCTCCTCCAGCGAGCCCGCAAGCTGAGAGCCGAGCATGACCAGCTTGAGGTCTCGCAATCCGAAAACTTCGACCCCAAGACGGCCCGACGCCTAGGCGAGCTGTCGTCGGTCGTGTCGGCCCTCGGCGACTGGGAGGCGGCGCAGTCGTCCGTGACGGAGCTCACGACGCTGCTCAGCTCCCCCGACGCCGAGCTGCGGCAGCTGGCGAGCGAGGAGCTCTCGACGACGCAGACGCAGCTCTCGACGCTGTCGCGGCAGCTGTCCGTGTCCCTGACGCCCAAGGACCCCTTCTCGCACATGCCGTGCCTGCTCGAGATCCGGCCAGGGCCCGGCGGCCTCGAGAGCCGGTTCTTCGCCGACAGCGTGTTCAAGATGTACAAGCAGTACTGCGCGTACATGGGGTACCGGGCCGTGGCGCTCAAGTACGAAATGGCCGACGGCGCCGGCAGCGCGTCGACGTCGGCGGGCGAGGAGCCGCTCCAGGAGGCCGTGCTCGAGATCAAGGACGCCGGCGCCTACGGGCTCTTCCGCGGCGAGGCGGGCATGCACCGCGTGCAGCGCGTGCCGGACACGGAGAAGAGCGGGCGCACGCACACGAGCGCCGTCGCCGTCTGGGTGCTGCCGTCGTTCCCCGACAGCCACGAGGCCGCGGGGGGCGGGGGCGGCGGCGGCGGCGACATGAACGTCGACGACCCGGCGAGCGACTTTTACCTCGACCCGGCCGAGCTCCGCATCGAGACGATGCGCGCGCGCGGCGCTGGCGGCCAGCACGTCAACAAGACCGAGTCGGCCATCCGCATGACGCACCTGCCGACGGGCACCGTCGTCAGCATGCAGGACAGCCGCCAGCAGTCGCGCAACCGCGAGGACGCCTGGAAGCTGATGCGCTCGCGCGTCGCCCTGCTGCGTCGCGAGGCCCGCGAGGAGCAGGCCGCCCGCCTGCGCGACAACGTCCTCGCCAAGCACAAGATTACGCGCGGCGACAAGATCCGCACCTACAACTACAGCCAGGACCGCTGCACGGACCACCGCAGCGGCGTCGACGTCCACAACCTGCCCGACGTGCTCGTCGGCGGCGCGTCGCTGCACCGCATCGTCGACAGCGCGAGGACCTGGCTCGCGACCAGCGACATTGCGGCCATGATGGCCGAGGAGGAGAGCAAGGCGGCGGCGGCGGCAGAAGGTGGGCAGGCGGCGGGCAAGTCGAAGAAGTGAGTCTGGGCTGTGTCATGGAAAAGACATCGTATACCATATTGTACGTGTAATTGTAAAACGAAAGCGTTCTCAAGCAGGCTGTAGACAGGCTGAATAGAACTTGAACATCATAGTAGAAGAGCACGAGCATTCCGAGCATCAAGCATGGCTGTAGATACGCTGGAGAGAACTCGAACATGAAGCAAAAGAGCACATTTCAGCCCAAGTGTGATATAATTCACCCGTTCACCAGACAGCTGTCCATTTTTACATGTTTGTTTCTCTTCCGTCCTCCGATCCCTCCAGAGCACCCAAGAGACAAAATACAAGAGAGGGGATGTCACCGTTGTGGCATGACGAGCGAGGTCCCCGTAGTCGGTCCGGATGTGTGTGTGTGTGTTCCGTATTCCTCCTGATCGTCCGACCAGCCATGAAGCGCCGCGCTGTTAAAAAAAAAAAAAAGAGAAAAAAATGGGCATCATGTGATGATAAGTATACAACAGGGTGGGAGGGGGGTGGTACAAGGGGAGGGTAGGGTCGAATCGACGTCAAGTCGAAGCAGTCGAGGTGTGCAGGTGATGTGACTGACTGCATAGCAATCCCCAGGAAAGGCCGTGATATCGTGTAGAGAGCAAGGGCGGCAGGCGTCTCACGCCAGCTGGCGCTCGCGGCGCATCATCTCGAGCACGCCGCCGACACCGGTGTGACGCAGGCGCTCGAGCACGACGCGCATGCCCTCGCGGCTCTTGCCTATCTGGGCCTCGGTCTTGCTCGAGGCAATGTTCTCGATGCTGCGCTGGATGCCGCGGGCGCCGAGGCCGCTGACCCAGCCCGACAGCCACTTGCCCTCCTTGGGTTCGGCGGTGGCAGTGGTGGCGGCGGCGGCGGAGGAGGACGCGGACTGGTCGCGGCGCGCACGCAGTCGCTCGCCGAGGCGCGACTTGTAGACAACGGTCGTGGTCACGTTGGTGGTGGCAGTGGGGTCGGCCGGGTCGGTGGTGTCGGGCAGGCTGAAGTTCTGCTGCTCGACGACGGAGAGGACGTTGTTGAAGTTGAGGTTGCGGGACTCGGTGCGCATCCAGCCCTCGCGCATGTCGACGACGCTCGTCTCGAGGATGTAGCTGGCCTTGTCGGTGCTCGAGCCGCCGCCGGTGATGGAGGTGGGCAGGAGCTTGAAGATGGGGGCCGGCAGACGGGACTTTTTGAGGTGGATGCGGGTCGTGTGTAACCTGCCCGTGTCGGGATCAATGTGACTGTTGATGGTGTCGGTGCTCATGACGTGGGTCGAGAAGGGATTGAGCTTGGGCGAGGAGTAGCGCAGAAAGTAGGCGAGGGTGACGGCGGGGAAGGGGTGGGAGTAGGCATGGTTGGTGGTGTGGGTGAGGACCATGGTGGGCGAGTCTGGACGTCTGCGATGGGGGGGGGGGGGGGCGGAGTTTCAATCAAGGATGGGTGAAGCGTCGTGTTCAAATCGGAACAGAGCTGAGGTTATCGAATAGGTCGTGGAAGGGCGTGTGATTTTTGCGCTGGCGAGCTTCTCACGGTTGGTGGTGGTGGTGGTGGTGGTGGTGCGTCCTCGCCGAAGGAGCAAAATTTGGCCCGAGGTGGTTCGGTCGCCGTACGAATCTTTCGATCCTGGCGCACGTCCGAACAGGAGAGCGTATTCAATTCTTCATCGGAAAGAAAAAAAGAAAAAGGCAGAAGAATGGCGTCGAAGAAAGAGACGACAACGATGGAGGAGGGAAAGGGGGGAGAAATGGATGACGCGGAAGAGGGAGGTGGTTCAGACGGTGAGGAGAAGGATGGTGGTACGAAAGCGAATGGCGGCAGGAGGTCGAGGTCCGGAAGAGCGTGGAACAGCGAGCCAGTCAGCCAGTCAGCAGTGAGCACGAGAGGCTGGCCAGAGAGGCTGACCAGAGAGGCTGACCAGAGAGGCTGACCTGGGGGAAAAAGCGATTTTTTGATTGGCTGCAGAGTCACCCGAGCTTGGGCCGACTGTGGCGAGAATCACATGACAGAGTGTGTTCTGTCTGGACTACCTTACCGAGCTTCACCGAGCCCTCTCCCATACAGACCGATCCACCGAGACTGGCCCTTTGGCTGCCTCCATCATGTCCCCCCTCCTCGATCCATCTACAACTAGCAGCAAGCCACGATGCCCTTGAGCTCTGCGCTCGGACTCGCCCATCTCTGCCAAGGCCCGCGTCGGTAGGGTTTAGCGCCGTCCAAGCTCTCCCTCGTACCTCTACATTGTACATCGGTCGGCTTGTCACGCGCATGTCAGGTTCACCGTTCACGACGTACGCCCACTTCCGATACGCACTGGAGGAATTCGCCATGACTACAGCAGGCTAGATACACGCACTGCCTCGCAGGCCTCGCAGCCTCGAAAGCCTCACAGGCCTCGCTGCCTCGCAGGCCTCGCTGAGCCTCAGAGGCCTCACCGTGTCGCCTTGCCCTTGCCGTCGGCCTTGTTGATCCACTGCAGCACCACGTCGGCAATCTCCTCGCTGTTGCGCTCCTGGTGCAGAAAGTGACCGTTGCCCCTGATGCCGAGGTCCGCGAGCTTGATCCACTCGGGCTTGCCGCCGACCTGCTTGAGGTAGTCGATGATGCAGTGGTCGTACGTGATGTGCACGCTCGCCTCGCCCGTCAGCGCCACGTACGGCACGCTCGCCACCTTGGGCAGCTGCCGCGCCGGCTCGACCTGGCGGTAGCAGTTGCGCCTGGCCAGCGTCTCGTTGCCGACGCTCTCGACCCTGAGCTCGGCGGCGCTCGCGACGGGCGGCTCGTAGTCGAGCCGGCTGTTGGCGAGGCCGTACGGCCGCGCCGGAAACCCGCCGAGGCCCCAGCCGTAGAAGAAGAAGGGCACCGTGAAGGGCTCGAGGTTGATCGACGCCGCGACGCGCTCCGGGCAGTCGTTCGTGAGCAGCAGCGCCGCCGTGCTGCCCATGCTGTGGCTGACGAGGTACGCCGGCCGCCCGACGAGCGCGAGGAACCGGCAGCCCGACGCGCGGAACGCCAGCTCCTGCGCCGTCGCGTTCGACGGCAGCGGCAGGAAGCCCTGCTTGAACTGGTCGAACACGGCGTCGCCGTCGACCCCCGTGCCCGGCCACTGCGTGTGCAGCTGCGACTGCGGGTACGTGTTGAACCGCTCGACCGCCGTGAAGCCCTGCTCGAGAATCTCGATGCTCGTGCCCGGCGTCATGGGGAACGTCGTCGTGTCGGCGTTGGCCGACCGCCCGACGGCCACAATGTCGACGAGATACACCTGGAACCCCTGGTCCACAAAGTACGACGCCCACCCCTGCCGCCCGTCGGGCGTGTTGAGCCACGTCGCCCCCGAGATGCCGCCGCCGTGGAGGAAGACGAGCGGCTTGGGCTGCGTGACGCCCTTGACCGGCGTCAGCTTCTCGACGAACAGCTGGTCGACCGTGTAGTTGCCGTCCGACAGCGCCACCGTGCGCCCGCCGAGGAAGAACGCATCGCGGACGTAGGCCTTGTCGACGGTCGGGCACCCAAACGCGACGCCGTTCGTGGCTTCGCAGTTGGACGGCTTGCAGGATGCCGAGGCCAGACCGGCGGCGGCGAGCGCGCTGACGAGGAAATTAGACGCACGCATAATGACTTGGGTCGCAATGTCGATCGACGGTTCAACAGGCTCTCTCTCTCGAAACGACAAACAGCAACAAAAATGGGAGGCCGTGGCTACCTAGCGAGAGACATCAGGGACCAGACGTGGCCGCTAGACCACGCGACGGCCACGCCAACTCTTTAAGAGAGCGGACTGAGCGGCAGCCCTGTGGGTATCGAGCAGGCCTCGATGCCAAGTTGCGGGAAAGGGGAGAGACTGTTGATCCAGCCTCTACCGCCCCCCCAAAACGCAGTCAATAAACTCTGGCCAATTTCCTCTCTGGCTCTCCCAAGCTGGGCGCTGTCCAGTTAGGTACGGGGCAGCAATGGGGCAGCGATACCTTTATGATCGAACCGAGTTCCCGCCTCAAATCTCCCGAGAAAGTCTTCTCCAGGAAAAGAACCCCATGAACACGAACGGCCCTGTCCCACCCCCCCTTGCCTTGCATGGGTGTACCGTACAAGGTACATGTACGTCGACCAAGCTTTCCAGATTGCGCCCAGCGGCGGGGCATGACTAGCAACACCATCGCCCACGGCAAGGTCCGCGGATGGCCCGGCAGACCACCATCGTGATAGCCTAGGACGTACCGGTACTTCTCACTCATGACCACACCTTACCTGCAAGTCCCGGGACCGTGCCTGTCTGTACATGTAGTTGCAGGCCTTGGGAAAGGGAATCCCTACTTACCATGGACGAGTCGAACGACATCAGTGAGGCTTGCGCGCTCTGGTTTCGCACTACTGGAAGGGATATAGGACCTGAGATACCCCTTCATCACCAGACCTCACGTACCCAGGAAGACTTGAAGTCATGAGTGCGCCTGTGGTGTCTCTGTTCCCTTCACAATCCAGAGAGTGCGCACCTCTCCACAGTGACAAGTGGTCTCTGGAGACCCGACTGTCATGTCGACGCCGAACACAACGACATCGGCCTTTTACGGCCAGCCGCCCAACACGGTCCGGGATGCCAACATAGTGCAGGGCACGTTCTGGGTCGACTTCAAGCTCGACACGCTTGATCCCAGTGGTGGCATCCCCTTTGCCCCCAAGCCGCCCCCCGGCTACGAGCACGAAGACAAGCAGGCCGCCATCATTGTCGGCATGGTTCTCGTCATTCTCGCCATTACGGTTCCCACCGTGGCGAGGATCGTGGCGAGATTTCGCAGCACCGAGATGCGACTGGGTCTCGATGACTATACTATAGTCCTCGCCGCTGTACGTGAAGGGAGACCCCCAAAGCCTGCTCGACATTGTTGGCCGTGCCTCTGACAACAGCCCCCTCGCAGAGCCTCGCGACCGTGTACCCGTGCTTCCAGATCTGGATGGTCGTCTCGGCGGGCGGCGGTCGGCACTCGTGGGAAAACACGTACGAGGACTGGGAGAAGTTCGTGCGCGGCCTGAGCTCGTGCCGGCTCCTCTTCTTCGTGACGGTCGGCCTCATCAAGATCTCCATCACGCTCTTCGTGCGGCGGCTGGCCGACCGGGCGTCCGTCTTCTGGCGCCTCGCCGCCGACATCTTCCTCGGCTCGCTCGTGCTCTACGTCCTGGCCGCGCTCTTCTGGAACTCGCTCTTCTGCCTGCCGCCGCGCGCCTGGTTCTCGCGCCAGTACGCCGGCAGCCTCGCGCGGCCGCCGCGGTGCAGCGACGACGTGACCAACGCCCGCGTCTTCTCCATCATCCACACGGTCCAGAGCTTCCTGCTGCTCGGCGCCCCCATCATCATCATGTGGCACGTCCGCATCGACGCCAACAAGAAGCGGCGCCTCTTCGCCATCTGGATCTGCGGCGCCGTCACCGTCCTCGGCGGCGTCCTGCAGCAGATTGCCTTTGTCATCACAAACGACCTCTTCTGGCAGTACACCTCCATCCTGCGCTGGACCACCCTCGACCTCGCCATGGGCTGCATCACGGCCTCGCTGCCCGTCCTCGACGCCTACGTCATGGGCACCTGGCACTCGGCCACCAGCGCCCTCGGCGGCTCGTCCGGCGAGCGCAGCGGGAGCCGCTTCCGCACGGTCGGCAGCCATGCCGCGAGCGAGCGCATGCCGACGCAGGTGACGCAGGGCCAGGTCAAGAGTGACTCGGATTCGACGCAGAACATATTCGTCGGAAACAGAGGGAGTGACGATGAGGGCTATCAGCTGTCTGACGTCAAGTCTACGAATGGGGGCCATGTGCAAGTCAGTCAGATAGTGTAGGCAGGCCAGGCAGTAATTATATTTCAGTCATCATGAAGCATTTCCTTTGGACATTTCCGAACGTCCATCTCCTGCATCCAGCCATTCAGTGCCACAAGATCGGACAGACAACAACACTATGCCAAGAGTACGAATTTTTCTTTTGGGCAGTGAGCCTAGTGTACGTAAGGCGAACAGCCCAGCTTGATGCAGAGGGAGGGGACAGGTCGTGACGATCCCTGAGCTCATTAATTCTCTGGATCTTCTCAGGGGATATCCGTGTTCGATGAGGCTTCTGGAGCCGGATCGTCGCTCTCACGGACAGAATAGTCTCATGTCGTACGCCGGATCAGGCGGTGTTGGCAGTGCAACATACAGATGTGATTCGAGCCAAACAAACCATCTCGTACCTCCTTCCCTGCCTGCCGATCAATCCGACGATGCAGTGTCAGTCAAAGCCTCAGAGCCCAAAGATCGGTCGCTTTCGCATTCAGAAAGTAACCTTACTTTGGAGGGTTTCTAGATCTTGCGTCCGTGTCATGATCCCGGGCATGTCGTGATTCAGGTACCGATACCTGTAGTCAACGTCGAACTGCGGCTGAGATCCTGATCCTGAATACTGACTCGCCGTCTGCCCGGTTGGTGCAGCAGACGTGTCGATACTCACGGATAGCCCTGCACAAGGTTCGTAAGGAGTGATGAAATGCGCTAATTTTTCAGAGTTTCCCCGGAGCCCTCACGCTGCTGGGCCGATTCGCTCCCCATCCGTGGGCCAATGTGAATTGAGTAGCATTGCCGTCGGCTGCTATTATCGCGAACTCGAGCGGGTAGCAAAGGGTCCCGACTGGGTTGCCTTTGACCGGTACTTGTAAGCTGGAGGATGAACCGCCAGGCGACGATGCCTGCCGACATACATGTATAGTGAGCCAGCCGGCACGGCATCAGGGGGGCCTCCTTCACCAGCCCAGCGTCTGCGACTCGGAACCCCACGTGGAGCCACGTCGCGTGCTGGGAAGACTCGCCTGAAGAGTCGCACTCCATCTGCCATGTGCTTTATCATCATCGTGTCCGTGGTCTGGGTTCGCTGTCGCAGAATTGCCGACGAGGAAGACGAAATCAATGCAACAGGCAAGCCTTCTTCACCCGCGGGTCGCACAACTCTATAGCCCTAGTTGCGTGTCGAGTTCGTCTGACAAGGATAGAGACCAAAGCCGGAACGCGATCCGGACCTCCCTGCCTCAGTCTTAGCTTTGCCAGGCCATGTCGCTCAGGCCAGCTCCTGCGTCAAGTCACGCTGGCCAAACCCCCTTTTACAGAATGTCAGATTACGATGTCCATCTGCAAGGGCTCTGGCTACCGGCACTTCGCACCTGCTTCGCCCTTGCACCTGAACGGAGCTGGCCTACTAAGACATCGAGCTCCAAATCCGAGAGGATTCCGCTGGGCTGTCTCCTTAGTGTTGATATCGACTCATGCGGCAACTACACAGGAGACCCAGCGTATTCCAGGTGCGCCCCATAGCCTCACTACAGGCCTCCATGTCAGCCAGCATCATCCACGTGTATCTCACCCTGCAATAATCATTTGGGGTTTGCCGACATGGACGACTCGGAGCATCGCGGGAGCTGCTGGTGATTGAACACAGAACGAAATTCTCATTAGGTAGCGAGATGCGTCTTTTGGGGCAGCGCGCTCGCTGCTGAGCCCGCTGCCGGTACCCAGGCCAACATGTCCACAGCTTCCAAGGAGATAGCCCGAGCGCCGCCCATCTTATTCCGTCATACCACTGTCTCTGTTGCTACGCTTCCAGGGGGCTCGCGGAGCCGCATACTGGTCATCCCTGACTGAGTCATGGACGCTACTTGACCGTTCGTTGAGGGCGGGACTGTCTACACGACGCGAGCCGGGGCGGGCGCCGATGGTTGGGGTCAAGGGCGGACTCTCGATCCGGTGCGAGCCTTCCTGGCTGTCTTTCGCCCCGCGGGCTGTCGCAGCCAGCGCCTCCAATTCCTGAGTCGCCACCATGCTGGGCACCATGCTCGTCCTCGACTTCCAGAACATGACACGGTCGTCGTCCATGGCGCGGTAGCGGTCGTCAGGGTTCTTCCTCCAGAAGGCCATGATGCTCGAAATAATGACGAGCAACAGGAGGATCAGGGAGAAGATGGCGTTCACGAGGAAGATGAGAATGCCAACCACGCCAACGAGGAGACCCGGGGCGTCAAACTTATTGGTGAGCAAGAAGAGGAAGATTGCGTTGACAAAGTTAACGGAGCAGATGGCAATGTTGAGAACGTTGATGCTCTTGGCCATCCATGGTCGCAGAAGGCTTGCGGCAGCCAGAGCGACGGCTTCGACAATGATCAGGCAAATCGCCTGCGCAACGCCATTGTGCTGTCCAAAGGCAATGATAGCCGCCTTGACGACCGTGTGTACGAGCAGAGGCAGAATATAATAGTAGGCCGTTGCTCGGAATGGAACGTAGAGGAAACCCCAAATCTGGAGATACTCCTGGTTAGAGAAGAGCTGAAACGCAGCAGACCGATGCACGGCTTTCGAGTTCCTTCCGATGGTGATGATTCGAACCGCCGCCACGCCAAGGACGAGCATGCTGCCGAACAAGAGGAACACGCAGAGGACGACGATGGCTGCCGAATCGGCCTGGGTGAACTCCCAGAAGCAGAAGATGGCAATGGCGGGGAAGACAGCAAGCAGCATGCGAAGAGTTATGCCCTTGAGAAGCATGCGCCAGCCGCCTCCGCGCAGCTCCGGAAACCGGGTGTCCTTGACCCACCCCCGCTTGACGCAGAAGTTGAGGATTAGGCGAGCAAGGTAGACGAACAAGGCGCTGATGAGCACCAGGAAGGCACTGAAGACAATGCTGGTCATGACAATGTTGGTGGTCTCAATGTGTGCCTTGTAACCCACACGCTGGATGCCGTATACGACATAGGCACCCGTGTCCAGCATGACGTTACTTCGCTTCTGGAGCCCGCCAGCTGCCGGGTCCAAAGATCGCTTCATCACTTGGACCGATGCACCTAGTGTATTGTCGAGGAGCCCGGCCGCGTCGCCGCCTGTTGAGCGCTGATACCAGGTGAAGATGGTCTGCATGAAGCCGATGCGGATCAGACCCAGCGACCAGACAAAGTTCTGCGTCCAAGCCTGGGCGGCAGGCGGCAGAGGCACACCGCTGAGACCGACCATGGCCTGAGCTTGAAAGTATGCGAACAATGACAAGGTGCTGGCGCCCAAGTGAGCAGCGGCATTGGTGTAGCCGACGCCGGACATGAGGGCAGACGTGATGAGGCCGACGAGGGTGACGGCAGCGGTGGCCCACTTGACACCGACGAGATCGACCGTCTTGTCGTTGGAAAACTTGGCCTCGACGCAAGCGAGGGTTTCATCAGTTCGTGTGCTCCTGATATGGACGCGGACTTTGGCGTCAAGGTCGGGGAAGGCGTATGCAATGCCGGGGATCTGCTTGCTGACGCTGTCACCAACCCGAAAGTTGAACCGGGGGGGCAATTTGCCAACGGTGAGGGGACAGATGGTGGCTTTCATGTCCTCAAGCGTGCAAGGGTCGAAATTTTGATGCACAGCCTGATAGCCGTAAACGTCAAGCACGATTTCGGCGATGACATAGTCGTTGACTGTCGACATGGCAGACAGTTGGGCGAAGATGGTGTTGTTATCAGGCGTGTACACGACATTGAAGAGACTCGCGGAGAAACTGGAGTCCTTCTGACAAGAATCAAGGGAATTGGATCGAAGCAGTCTCTCTGCAGACGCTGAGGAGAAGAGCGTCAAAAGACCCAGACTGAGGCATGATTGCCACATCATGATGAGGGCGTAGCGAGTGACCCTCGGTGCTGAGACGTGACGTGCGGAGGAAAGGCGAATGTGTCGAATTGACCTGGCGACGTTGAAGATGGGGAACGAGCGTCGAGAGTGAGAGCGGACGACAGCGTTGAAGAGGTGCAATGGGGAGGTGCGAGGTCTCGAGTGACGAGTGAGGAAGCCGCAAATCTGGAGGGGGAAAAACACGAGATCCGATGCGATCAGCTAAGTTTGGTGCCGTGCCACACCCCAGAACAGGTTCATGACATAGCTGCCTAGCGGTCAGCTCACTGAAAGGGATACGAGGCGCCAAAGGGGTGTGGTGGGGTTTGGACGAATGCGTACTCCGGGTCCCGGAAGTGCGGGAGATTAACCCTTGGCGTCATGGCTGCGCCTCCAACGAACCCATTCCTACACGATCTGCCTTTCACAGGTCGTCATGATGTCGTTGTATAAAGAGACGGTGCCCCAGCCCAATGCATCAGACCATGCGAGGTCGAGCCTGTAGATGACGGGTTTAAGATGAGGATGCTGAATCCATGAAAAATCGAGTTACTTTCCAGACGAAGAATGAACAAGTCTCTCTGGGAAGACAGCCCCAGTTGGATCGTCAGACAAACATATGTTCGGGACTTCTGCTTCACGAAAATCTGCTAGTTTCGATTGTGGCCGTCATCGTGTAGAGGGCATATAGAACTGTGGTACTGCATGACATCGCTGGTCAGGTCCACATGGACGGCCACTTGTGTGTTCTTGTGTAGTGGCGCGCCATGTGACCTTCTGATGGTAGGAAGCTGTCGTCTGGTAACCTGGATGCGACCATCAGACCGTTGAGCAGGGATGGAATTGGTGAAGAAGATGCGGTCGAGGCGACGAGTCGGCATCTACCCAACGAGCTACAGGATGTTCAGACTCGGAGCAACTGAAGACTCCAACGGAGGCCATCTGCACACAGAAGCACGGGAGAAAATGGGGACGCGAGGCAGAATGGCGATGGAGCTAGCCGTAATCGAGGGCAAGTACAGACGTTGGATGCACCTGCCCGGGTGCTGGGTACACCTTCCTGAGCACCCCTGAGCACCTTCCCAAGGAAACTCAGCGCTAGCGCGTGCTGAGGGAGGCAAGTCCCAAGAGGCCGTACCTGCCAAACGTGCCTAATCAGGTACCTAGGGTCAGGGACAACAGGCACTCGGACATTGCGCTCCACGCGATCCCGCGACGTTACCCAACAAATTTATCGGAAAGCTGTCAAATGCCCAGACGCGAGATGGATCATCCACGGGCCAGTGCCTCGGTTCGGCATTTTCACATTCACATTCGCATTCATGTCTTCAACCACAGCCTGAGGAGCGGCCTCTGATAACACCTCATTTACCCCTCGGATGGTCAGCCCGCCTGCTGCCGCTGCTTACTCCATCGCATCAAAGTGTCCCAGCACCGCCTTCTGCATCCTTCGTGCTGTATCGCTCTGGATTGTCGCCATCCTCATCAAACTTTTAGGCGCAGCTCGTCATCGCATCGCTGATACCCTGCGCCCAATCCGACACCCAGCGGCTCACGAGAAGAAGTCCTTCTAGAGGTAGCATCGTCGGCATCAGCATCGCCAACAACGACAGACCCGTTACGGCTCGCATTTCAGCCCCTCGATATTGCCTTTGCAATGGCAGCCCTTTCCAAAATGGTGCCCTCTGTGGCCGAGCTCGATCGTATTCCTGAGCGCGTCATCCGCCTGCTCCGTCTCTCCATCTACGGCGGCGCTGCCTTTGCAGCTTACAAGATCCAGTGGAGGACTGTTCTTAAGGATTTCTTCACCGGTCCAGGGCGCATCAGCCGCATCCTGATGCTCATCTTCGCGCTGTTCAACTTCAAGAACCTGCCTGGCATGTGGACCGTACGCCGCTCCCCGCTCCCTCTTGACTGCGTCACCCCCTGACTTGCTTGACAGATCCGTCTCTGGCACGCCATCCTCTACCATTGCTTCATGCGCAAGGCTCCCCGCCTCGGCCCGCGCTCTCTCTTCCGCCCCTTGATCTCCGAATCACACGCTCCCCTGACGGAGATCGATTACAACATCCACAAGTCCAACTCGACGTACTTCTCCGACCTTGACATTGCACGCTCCCACATGGCCTCCCACCTCTTGCGCCCCGGCTTCCGCAAGCTCACACACAACACGAAGACGGGCGTCATCATCGACGACATCACGGGCAAGCCCCGCCGCGGCAACTTCGGCATCATGCTCGGCGCCGTCCACTGTTCCTTCCGCCGCGAGATCACGGCTTATGCGCCCTATGAAATGTGGACCCGCATCCTCGCCTGGGACCGCAAGTGGCTCTACATGGTCACACACTTCGTGCCCAAGGGCATCGCCCGCCCCTCTGAGTACCTCGACACCAAGTTTGGCCGCGCGCGCACGCGCAAGGGCGGTCCCGACAGCAAAGAAGCCAATGCGTGGAAGCACAAGATCTACGCTACTGCCGTCAGCAAATACGTCTTCAAGCTCGGCAGGTGGACAATACACCCGAGCTACATCATTGACAGCAGCGAGCTCCTGCCGGCGCATCCGAAGGGCCCCGAGGGTTGGCGCGGCGGACCCAACGGCGTTGGCGACGAGGAGGATCTCGGTGAGGTCGCCAACGATGGTTCGTGGGACTGGAAGATGGTCGAGAACAGAAGGCGCGAGGGAATGGTATTTGCGCAGCAGTTTGCCAACCTCGACACGCTGGAGTCGTGGTTTGATGGCGGTGATGGCGGCGATGGCAGTGCCCTCGGAAGATTTGGCTTGAGCGCGGCGTCCTGGTGAAAGACTTGCTTCCTATAGAATTAGACTTTTGTAAGATGAGTCCGGATATATCAAGTTCTAATGTTTGTTCCCCTTTCAAAGCTCTCACACGCTCTGCAGATAGACACCTCGCGGATCACTACTTATCGCGCGTGGGTGGGAATCTGTCATTTGGACGGATTGCCGTCGACTAGCTTACGTTCAGACAGACGAAACCACGTGCATATATTGCGGATTACGAGATCAGTGTACAAATTTGTCAAATATGAGGCGTTCTTGATAAGGGCGAGGCAAAACCTAGGCTTGAACACAACTGGGAGATGACGCAGATAGTATTACTATTGAACGGAGGAAACGAATACATATCGAGGCCAGATGCGAAACGAAACAAGACGTGAGATGGGAACCCCTAGACACAAAGGGCAAAGGGCCAGCAACTAGGCAAACTGCTGTCTAAAGAAGCGCTCCAAGGTCATCAACTCGGCATCCTCGCCTTCCTTTCCCTGCGCCGCAGCTGCCGCCCTCTTCAGCTCGACAGCGGCCGCCGTGTCGTTGGGTACGCCATAGTAAAGCCCGCCCGACTGCTGGCAGAAACCGAACATGCGCTGCACGGTGACAAGGGCCGTCACGCCGTACGTTTGGACGTCCTCCCAGCTGTCCATGAAGCGGAAGCGCGCCTTCTTGCCAGTGACTGCGTCTTTCGTTAGCATGGGCAAGAGATCGAGCATTTGTCCTGAGACATGTGTGGATGTGGTGCTCACCCTTCTTGTAGTCGGGGATCACGCTCTCGAGCGCCTGGGACTGGCTGATGCCCTGCACGAGCTGCCCGTTCCACCGCTCCGGCGCGAGCAGCACGCCGTGCACAATGTCGCCGTAGTCAGCGGCCATGGCGATCAGCGGCACGGCGTCGTCCGATCCGCCCCAGCGCGGGCAGCTGAAAGTCAGATACCCCTCGTCGTCGGCCTTGAAGGGCCACCCGCCAAAGATGGGAGCAATATCCGGCCAGAGGAAGGTCTCCATGTACCAGCCTGGGCTGACGTCGGTGAAGGAGACGAAGGACTTGCTACGGCCGTACTGCCCGATGGCATGTTTCTCTGGCCTATGTTAGAGGATGGTTGATGCTGCAAGGACAGAAGGGGGGCGGTTAAGAGCCCACATACCGTCAAAGGCCTGGTTCGGGAACTCGCCCTTCGTGGTCTCGGCAGCGGAGGCCATGCCGCTGAAGATAAAGTGCTGGGCGCCAGCTTCAGCGGCGGCGTCGATTATGATTTTGCCCATGTCTGTCTCGGAAGGGCCCCCCTTTTCGTTGATAGACTGTGTCTCCTAGTCAGTCACCGCACTCGCTTCGGGAACAACCAACGAAGGGCTTACAGGATCATCAGAATTGATGTTCGCAAATACAGCCCAACTGCCTTCAAAGGCAGCTTTGAGCTCATGTCCCTTGAGGCCATCGGCTTTGACAACTTGCACTCCCGAGTCGGCGAGCTTAATGGCCGCCTCGGACTCGGGGTTGCGAGTGATGCCGCGGATCCTGAAGACGCCGGACTTGTCGCGGAGGAGGGCCTGAACAACGCTGCCGCCCTGCGCGCCAGTGGAGCCGAAAACGGTCACGAGCTTGGTAGACATGATAAATTCTTGTAGTGTGGTGAGTAGTAGAGTATGAGATTGGTTGGTGCGTGTCTGTCTGGTTGGGGAGGAACATTGTACGAAACTGCACTCGGTGATGCTCTTATATAGTTTCCAGATCACCTTATGGCCCGTCGTTGACTGGTCCAACTGTCAACATGTCTAGATCTCAAGGCGAGCCCCAAGAGTTAGCTGAGCCAGCACCTTGCATGTGCTCGCTTCTGATTCTTGTTGCATACCATGGCTGCAGGCTGTCGCTGAAGCCACGGCGCAAGAGATGACGACGCTTTTCAGAGTCATCGTTGAGAAACATCGTGATTGACTAAACGGGTGCCTAAGGAGGCGTTTGCTCACTGCGTGAGTGCAAGCCTCGTGCCAGAAGCTGTTAAAGGGCCACGAATGCCAAGCATCGCGAAGTGTAGTGATCAGTAATGAAGAAACCCCAGCCCTAGCGCTGTCTTACGTCGCCAGGTCAGCCCCACGACAAATCAATAATCCGATGCTACCGAAGCCTCTACCGAAGCCGGTACAGAATAGGCCACTCCGACTTCAGCGCAATTGGCTGGCAACTTGTGGCTGGCCTGCAACGCAGACATCGCAACAAATGAACTCTATGAGTACGGCGCATCGTAGTTGCGTCTGGCCAAGTCATGCGATATTCAGACGAGGTAAACAAACGGTTACATTGCGCTCGAAGCCATTTTTGTATCTGCCTGAAATGAGGCAGCCCAACTCCCTAACCCCCAGTTCCCACATCTAATCTCGATCATTTCTTCCGCAGCGTCAGCGAGGTCCTCGCCATCTAAGCGGCCTCGTGCGAAAGCCCGGCGTATTCGCCGTCCTGCGCCGTCTCGGTGGTGTCCTTGGCCGGCTCGGTGTGCTCCCATACCTCCTGCGCCAAGGCCTTCTCCTCCTCGTTCTCAACTTCGCCGAACTTTGTAATACTGAAGTCGGGCACGTATCGTCGCTCCTTGCGCA